CTCGTGCTCCTCCTCCTCCTCCTCCTCCTCCTCCTCACGCCGCAACTCCCGCGGAGGGTAACGATCAAGAATCGGCAAGGAACTTTAATTGGCCAAAAAAATTATTTGGCATATACGCCGATGATTGGATTTAGGTGCAAAAATCCCCCGTGCAAGCAGAAATCTAATGGGTTGTTTTAATTGTTGGTTCAAAATTTGAATTTGCATACACGAGCTTTAATAAAATATAATTATACATGTTATATCCCTCAATGTATTACTTGGCCACCCAACTTGTAGTTTTCTTGCTCTGATATTAGTTCGGAACAAAATGTGTTCCCTCTGCTATTCTTTGCGGTAAAAAAGATCCAAATTTGTATGAATTTTTATGATCAATATATTTTGGAAGTTTCTTTCAAATTTTTGTTTTGACAAGCTAAGCATGATTTATTAGTTATATGCTCCAGAGTCTTATTATATATCTTCTGTCTGAACAAAGGGAGGGAATTATAATGCACCATCCTTCAAATATCTTGTCCCTATTTTGGCTGTTCTTTGATGTGTTAGTTTTAATGTGTGACGCATTAAGAAAAAATGTTAAATTATATAATCCGGTTAAAGTAGGATCGATAACCCCATACATAAAGTTTATTAAATCATTGAGGTTTACAATTGGTAATTTGATAAAAGAGAGTTTCTTTATTCGCAACCAAAGTCTTAATTGGTTTCTAACCTACCTAAATAAGTTTACTAGTAAACCCCCTAATTTTGAACGATTACCTCTTTTTGACCCTTGTAGAAGTATATTACGAGTAAGAATTTTATCAGAACAGCCCATAAAAGGGGTGATCTATACCAACCACGGGAAGTTAAAGAGCTATTTTTATAACTCTCACTATCCTATCATTGAGACCGATGTAAGACGTGTGAGGTTCTCTTTGAGTTTCATACAAACAGTTTGAAAAACTCAGCGCCTCACTCTATATATATATATATATACACACACATATCAAACTTCATTTCTCGCATAGAACACGCCAAAAAAAAAATTCTTATAAAACCCCTCTCACATAGAGAGAGAACCTAAAGATGGCTGGTCTGCAAAGGTCGAGTGAGACCTTCAGAAGATCAGGCTCGTCGGGGTTAGTTTGGGAGGACAGATTCCTGTCGGAATATGAAACAAACGAAGAAGCCGTCGAAGGCAGAAGGCGGGCGGCCTCGAGCTCCGCCACTCCCGCAGCACCGGCTCCCTGCACATGCAGGGTGGCGGCGGACGCCACGGGCACAGGCACGGTCCACGTGTCGCCCGTGGTGGACCCTGCCGTCGCCGAAGATCTCCGGCTGCGGCTTCTGCGCGGTCTTCAGGAAGGCTGACAGCATGGAGAGGAGGAGGACCAAGAGCAAGAGGACCGGTCATCGCTAATGTCTGAAGAGGAGGCTGAATTAATTGACGTGGTTAGTTTTTGCACTTTAGTCCTTTAAAGTTTCAGCCTGTTCCATCGTCGAAATCCTGAAGCTCTGTTTTGACAAATTGATACCGGAAAGCCCTAGCTTTTAAATTTTTATTTCTCGTTTACCTTTTAATGTTGATATTAATTTCTGAGAACAAAATTAACATCGAATTTCTTACGCTCTGTGTAGAGATATCAAATTGTCAAAATTGAACTTCGGAGCGTTATCGGTATTAAAAAGGGTGAAACCTTGGAAAATAAGAGTGCAAATAATTCTTTTTTCCTTTCCTTTGTGTGTGTGTGTGTGTTTTTTTTTTTTTTTTTATTAACATGATTTGTGTTGTAACTAGACATGTGGAACAGAGTTACGTATTGTCCACATAGAGCAAATATTTTTCTTTTTATTCTTAGAAAAATATTGGTAAATTTGTGTTCTATGCTTGGAAAGTCTAGTTTCATCCTTACATGTTGATCCTTCTTGGGTTTGAGGCTTCTCGGTTATGAATTGTTTCTGAATCAAGAAGAGGAAAAGTAGACATACATCTAAAATGAGTATATGATGCTCTTCTATGCACATATGAACAGTGGCGGAGCCACATGAGACTTGCCCTACCCAGGGCAGATTTTGCGATATATATATTATATATATATATATATATATATATATATATATATAATATATATATATATATATTATATTATATATATATATAATATATATATATATATACTATATATATATAAATATATATATATATATATATATATATTATATATATATATGAGCAATATGGTATGCTTGGTACAAGCACAAAAAGTTGTGTTGGTAGTGATTGTCACATCCCCTCCACTCATTCAATATTGGGACCACATTCACATGGGTAGTGAGTGATGAGTATGTGACACATCACTACCAAGCACAAAATTTATGCTTGGTACCAAGCATACCCATTTCTCTCTCTCTCGTCTCTTCTCTCTTTATATATATATATATATATATATATATATATATATATATATATATATATATATATATATATAATACTATATATATTACATAACATATTCGAGACAGAGGAGAGAGAGAAGAAGATGAAAATACAAGGGGATGTTGAGCCTCATGCATTCACTTACAACATGGCGCTCTATGCAAACAAGGGCCGATGGATAATGCTACCTAAGATTTACTTTTTGCAATACCTATACTTGCATTATCTTTGGTCATTCTATTCGAGGACAATGGAAAGAAGCTATGAGCACTACAACAAAATGCACTCCGCTCAAAGCTAGGTTTTGTACCGACTCCGACGACGGAGGAGCAGGAGGACGAGGCATCTCCTTCGCCCGATGTTTGCGCCTTGGGATTCATCGCCAGCCAGGATTATTTTTTCGCCCAGGGCAAAAAAAAAATTCCTGGCTACGCCATTGCATATGAAGATTTATTGGTTTGCTTTCCGCAAAATATAATTATAATTAAAGATGATGATCTGGTTTGGATGTTGAAGATTAAAATAGATTACAATACTATGCTTTGTTTCTAAATTTTTTGTTTAGATCAGCAATTAAATGGCTAGTTGAACATACGATCAAATGGACATGTATCTATATGGATTTTAGAGATGAGCTTTGGTTTTAAAAGAGTGCATGTTTTTTCCTTTGATATTCTTGTAAACTGTAGCTTTGCATCCTATTCGAAAAATTAAATGGAAAAAACTCTAACCTTCAATATGCTGGTGCACATCACATGGAACTAACTTTTTTTTATTTTTTTAGAACCAAGGTGGAAAACACAGAAGTAGCTCTCTTGTTTGCACCCATGATAGCCCAAAGTTGGCTAGCTTTACACGTTCGATCTCTCATTGTTGTCAAACTGGATATTTCTATATATTATCAATAACAATGGACAAGGGTTGGTGACATTAGGTCCACGTTTTACTTGAAACAGGCAGGGGGGCGGGGGGGGGGTAAATTAATCCACTATCAATGCACGAAGGGGACATGGATATTTCTTTTTAGTGGAGTAGTTGACCAGGCCATGAGGATTAATTTGCAGATAACACCCTCCTTAGCGTAAATAAAACAAATTATTACATGGGCTGTTTAAATAGTCGGTTTCCATGAAATGAAATTACATTGCAATCTTAATTCGTAGCGTACAATTGTCATTAGTGGTTGGGCGCGCGTGTCAGCCATGAATGCAGTTCACCGTCGTCAATGTTTTGATAAGATTTGTATTCTCTACGTCCGAATATGATTCAACGGGGCGCCAAGATATTCAAGGGGGCTGGGGTTTGATTCATACCCCCAACAGCCACCCAACGGTATTGTAGCCTAGTAGGGCGTTGGGGGACCAAAGTAGCGGGAGGCTTTTATTCACTTCATAGAGGAAATTTCTATTATTATCATTTAGGTGTACTCATTGAATTTGGATGCTCCTGTATACTTGGAAAAAACAGAGGGTGGGCATGGTGTTCTTTTTTCAGCCGTTCATTCATGTAGTCATGATGGGAATTCGTTGGCATCGTGAAAGATACAAGCAGGACAAGCGATCCTGCAAAGGGGTCTCTGTGGGTGAAACATATATCGCTATCGATTCTAAAGTAATGTTAGGTATGAGCATCAGCGCCATCAATATCAGTACAATTATAATATCGTATGGGTGCGATCAGACTCCTCTATAAACTTGAACAAGGCAATTTAGTTGAGCCCCTGCTCTTGATTGAAAGCCTTGTTGAGATAAGGGAGAAGGTAAGAATTCAAGGGTTGGCGGCCTCGGCCATACCACCATTCTAGTGGTTGGCCTCGGTGACTATGCGCACACAGAACACTGGCATGAAAGCCGCGCTCTATTCGCGAATACAACAGCTTGAGGCAAACCTATACGAATGTCATCACTGACTTTAAAATTTGTACTGGGAAGCATGCTATAACATCCTTCCCGCCCTTTATAGAGGGTCCTCTGTAGGATTTCTTTCGGATGCTAGAATGAACTTTGAGGAGACATTTTGCACAAAAGCATCATAAATCATTTTCATGAGAGCAAACTATCATCACTTTTCTCACTAAACTACCACATCCGACGGCAGTAAGAGCAAGTTTTTACTTCACACATGGCATGTTTTGGACAGTTTTCATCCTATTCACTTCATCTTCTATACTACTTCCCTTCCTCCTCTTTTCAGGGTATTCAAGCAATTAATAACATCAGCAACAATTTTCAGTAGCCACGACATTTCTCTGTCGTTATAAAAGTACAAAACATACTTCTCAAATAAAGAAAACTTTCCCAACTTTCATGGTAGTTTAGCAAAAACAGTTGAAAACATGATTTCTTTCAGATGCAAGTTCTTTAAAGAAGTTTATGAAGGTTGCAAAAAGAAGAAAAATGCACATTAAATACAGCTCAAGCAACTAGGTAGTTTTACTCGCATATAATCTCAACTTTCTCAATTGAAGGTATCTTGCATAAAATATAGAATGTGATGTTTGATGAAGGGCTGATTCAGATTACATTGGATGAAACCCAACAAAACAAGGTAAAGAGGTAATATGTAAACAACATCAGAAGCGAAGTTCCTCTGTGCATTAAGGAAACTTGATTTACAAGTATTTTCTAGCAAGAGCTCGAACTTTTGTATCAAAGTGCGACGAAGTTATCCGTGACCCAGGTAAATATAGAGGATTCAACAGAATCTGTACAGATTTTTAGAAAGAATATATTAGTATGAACACTTTGAATTCAGATGAAGTTTACAAGGTTGACTTAGACTAGTATGAAATGAATCGTATTGTCCTTACACAAGCATAGAGAACAGTAAGACAGCAAAGTTAGAATTAAGGAAAAGCATTTCTGCAAGAAAAAAAAATCTAGTCATATAAAATCCATACAGCCAAACTAGATACCAAGGTAAGATCTATTGGCACACAGTAGCGTTTCCTTTCTTTTTCAGCATTTTACGAGGTGACCTACCGAATTTGCTTGTGCGTATGTGTGCTTCTTGGTGTTTTTTTGTTAATTTGGCTTCTTTTTTTTGGTGAGGGGGTGGGGTGGGGGTGGGGGGGGGGGGGGGTGTATGTATTTGTTCAGGATTGTAGTCTGGATTGGGGCTTTGTCGGGATTTTGAGTAAGTGTGTTATTCGTTTAGAACTAGGATTTGAAATTAAATTTAAAATGTTATTCGTTTAGGACTAAGACTTGGATTCAAATTTAAGGAGTTATTCATTTAGGACTAAGATTTGGATTTAAATTTAAGGTGTTATTCCTTTAGGATTAAGATTCAGATTTAAATTTAAATGTTATCCATTTAGGATACAACTACATATTTTCAACCTCAAACAGTCCAAAGAAAATTTTGTGCGTTTCTTATTCTCATCCCAGATTTTATTAGAAGCTCTATTCTATTTTAGTATTAAATACAATTCTTTTATACACACACACACATAATTATATATATATATATATATATATATATATAGAGAGAGAGAGAGAGAGAGAGCAAGACTCCTATCAACTTAAGTTGATGTCCACCAAAGTTTCTAACCACACATATATTAATATAAAACACCTTTTTATATAATACATGGATCCCTAGGCAATATGAGTGGTTAAAAACTTTGGTGGACACACTATTTGCTATCCACTTAAGTTGATAGGAGTTTTCACCTATATATATATATATATATATATGAACATGATTTGGTGTCTTGCACTAGAGACTAGCCATTGTGGAACAGATTTGAAGTTCATTTTGAAGGATGGATGTAAATGATTTGATCTGGACAGATACGTGAAGGTGAAACACACTCAAGATACATGCAGATTCAATCATCTAGACTTGAGGAACAAGTCATTCTCCAAATAGATCTATTCTCCTGCTGTTTTCTGTCCATAAGACTCATTATGTTCAGATTTTATCAATCTCTCTCTATATATATATATATATATATATATATATATATATATATATATATATATAATACTATTATAAAAGAGGATTGTGGTGTTACAACATTTCTTCCTAAAATGCCCATCACCTTATGTTAAACCACATGCATGCATGCAAAAATCACATACGTACATGGATGAAAATACAAATATAAGACACATAAATGCATGCATGAATACACATACATACTCAATTTTCATAATCTCTCCAATAATTACCATTAATTTTTCATTTAACCATTCAATCATAGCCTTCCTCCACTAACTCTCACTAACACCACAATTAGTTATCTACTAATTGCTCCATCTCTCCAACTTCCATCATCACTTTTATCAACTTTCTCTTATAAAAAAATGTCTTATATGTCTTTTGTGTATAAGACTAAGAAGGATGAAAAAGGTTTCTTTTGGTTATGCTTAAATTTACCATTATTTTCCTGTCTAATGGTAATGGAAACTTTTTTTTAGGTTATTGCACATCCCCAACCCTACCCCCACCCCTCCCCCAAAAATAATAATAATAAAAAGCACCCTCAAGGCCTCAACCCATTTACTAGCACTTAAAATCATTGGAATGCAATTCTTATATAATTATAAATTGTAATTGGAATGCATAAATCACATACATAAATGGATGAAAATACAAATATAAAACACTTATATCCATGCATGAATACACGTACATACTCAATTTTCATAACCTCTCCAATAATTACCATTAATTTTTCATTTAACAATTCACTCATACCCTTGCTCCACTAACTCTCATTAACACCACAATTAATTATATACTAATTGCTCCATCTCTCCAACTTTCATCATCACCTTTCTCAACTTTTTCTTATAAAAAAATGTATTATATGTCTTTTGTGTATAAGAATAAGAAGGATGGACAAGATTTCTTTTAGTTATGCTTTAATTTATCATTATTTTTCTGTCAAATGATAATGAAAACTTTTTTCTCATTAATGAACATCCCTAACCCCACCCCCACCCCTCCCCCTAAATATAATAATAACAAAAAGCACCCTCAACCCATTTACTAGCACTTAACATCATTGGAATGCAGTTCTTATATAATTATACATTTTAAGTATCAACGCTTTTTTTCGAGCCTAAACCAGGTATAAGCCCGGCTAAAACCATGCCGACTTTGGGCCACTGGCTTTTTGGATAGCCCTTGGAAATTGAAGTAACCAGACACTTATTCATGCAAAATATTGTGTTTGTGTTTATGGAGATAGTTATTTGCACTAGAGATTGTGCGCGGGTGTGTGCAGGTTAGAGAATCCAATCCTCTATATTCTTGGTTGTAGAGCATCTCTACAACTCACCAATCACATCTCCTCCTTGCATGGTGATCCCTATGAATGATATTCACTATATAAATTATATCACCAATTCTTTTATAAATATAAGGCCCACTAAATGATCCAATGCTATTAAAATACATAACTAATTGTAAAAGTTCTCTACAATCAAGGATGTAGAGAGTCCTTGCCTGTGTGTGCATTTGGTGCAATTTACCCCAACAAATAACCATTAATCCTCCACTAATTATCTACGACATCTCAAGTATTTTAACTCCACACTTGGCCACCGCGAATCATCAAGATAGTTCCAATATGGGTCCTACAGTATTGGATTCAATTTCCGACCGGGTTATTAAAAAAACTCCACACTTTCCTATGATCTTTTTGTGCTCTATGTATAAGATAACATCAAAAATTTCCCATCAAAGGAAACAACAAGATTATAAAATTCCACCAAACAAAAGTCACCACATTCTATCGATTTACCCACTTAATCTCTTTATACATTAAGACTCATTATGACACTGTTCATAAACTCATTAAATAACATTAATTCTTCACTAATTACTTATAACATGTTAATAGCTATAAAATCCCAATGAATGGTCAATAAGTGTGTTCACGTGCAACGCACGTACACAATACTAGTGTGTGCGTGTGTGTGTATTTGTTATATTTTAAATTTATCCTAAGTAATTAAAAACAAAAGATCTAAAGGTTTAATTATTAAACATATGTGAATAAATTTATAAAAAATAAATAGTCATGTGTTATGTTGGTAAATTATAAAAAGTAATTTCAAAAAATAAATTTATTTTGCAAATATTTTATTAAGATTTAAGATAAGTGAATATCATTTATCTTTCTTATAAAAATTAGATCAAAAAATTATTACATCTAGATTATCAATATAAACTCAAAATTTTAATCAAATTTTAAACATGCCACCTCAAATTAAAAGCTTCAACTCCTATATTTTTTCTCTTCTCACATGAGTTTGCACGTGTTAAAATTCTACTTTCTATATAATTTCTTTTGTTCTGCTATTCCTTAATCAAAATGAGAGTGTCTTATGAAATAAATTTTAATTATATTTGATAATAACAATCATCTAATGTTAAAAATCGTAAATTCCTAATTACATAGCTTTAAAGTTGAAGAATTCAACTAAAAAGGTTACTCTGAAAATTAAAATAGTCCATAAATTTTAGTTCGAGAATTCAACCTTTTAACCCAATAATACAAATCAAAAATTCAAGAATTCTACTAAAAAACTAAAAATCCAATCTAAGAATCCACAGCTCTAAACTAAAAAATACTATTCCTAATCCCAATCCAAGAATATCGAATTCATGGACTATTGCCCTAGTCATACTCAACAATCCAGAACGAATAACACTGATACGGATGTATCTTCTTTTCGGAACTTAGCGATCCTCATGGGAACTTAAGGATAGATGATTCTCATGGTAACTTGAGAATAGAGGTGTAAAACAACACAATGGAACACAGGTTGAAGCGTGGAACGAGACGACGAATCGAAGCATCCAGTTTTTAGCCCGTGAGTCGACTCATAACAGTCATGAGTCGACTCATAACAGTCATGAGTCGACTCATCAGATTGAGTCGACCCATGTCTGTCATAAGTCGACTCATGAAACTCAGCCGTTCTGTCAAAAGTCTCTGACCAGTCGACTCATTACTGTATGAGTCGACCCATGTGTCATGAGTCGACTCATATATGCACATGAGTCGACTCATCGAATGATTCCTGGTTCGTTTGGGTTTCTGTTTGCACGAATTCCTGTCGGGTTTCGGCTTGGTTATTTACCATTTTGTCATCCACGTTGTTACACCTATATAAGGGATTGTTTTAGGGTTTCTAAACAGAGGAGATGGTTAGAGATATAGATCTAAGGAGATTAGGTCTAAGAGAGATTAGTTTTGATCTAGAGAGAGAATCAGATGTAATCAAAGAGAGATTCTAATCAAGAGAGATTAGGGTTTAGAAAGAATTGAGTTTGTTTTCGATTCTAGTGAGATTGTGAGAGAGAGATTATAATCTTTTCATATCATAATCTAGAAAGGGTATTTTCCTTCGTCACATACTGAATTATTCTTGTTTCTGTCATCCTCTTCTCAACCCACCTTTGATAATTCTGTGATCAAAGGTGCTTGCATGGCGACTCGTATCAAGTTGGTATCAGAGCGATCAGATCCTGTGAATGGGACATCCTGTGTATAGTCCTGACTCGATCGCAATACAAGAATCTAGGCGAGATCCTTATTTTATTGAAAGGAGTCAGAAATTAAGGAAGAAGAAGATGGCTGAAATTGAGTAAGGAGATGCTAAAGGGCGAAGGGAAGAAGTTAAAACCTATACGTTATGATCCGTTTCGGATTTTCGATCAGATTGGTGATAACGCCTTCAAGTTGGATTTGCCACCTTACTTAGGCATGTATTCGGTGATCAATGCCGAATATTTGAAGTTGTTCGAACCTCCATTGTTGGATGATGAAGGTGGCGACAAGGTGATCTTGCCGCATGTTGAAGACTTGTGGTTTGATAGAGAAGAACCGCTGAAGGAAGATTGTATTTTAGAGCGAAAGACGACCGTGACGAGGCGGGGGACGAAGGAGTCGTTTCTCATTAGACGTCAAGGTCAGGTTCCTAGCAAGGCTAAGTGAGAGGAGCTCGCGAGTTTCCTCAGCTAAAGTTCTAACTTGAATGGGACTTCAAGTCCCTAAAAGGGGGACCTATGATACGGGTGTATCTTCTCTTCGGAACTTAACGATCCTCATAGGAACTTGAGGATAGATGATTCTCATGATAACTTAATAATAGAGGTGTAAAACAACACAGTGGAACGCAGGTTGAAGCATGGAACGAGACGACGAATCGAAGAATCGAAGCATCCAGTTTTCAGCTCGTAAGTCGACTCATAACAGTCATGAGTCGACTTATTAGGTTGAGTCGACTCATGCCTGTTATAATTCAACTCATGAAACTCAGCCGTTTTGTCAAAAGTCTCTGACCAGTCGACTCATCACTGTATGAGTCAACCCATGTGTCATGAGTCGACTCATATATGCACATGAGTCGACTCATCGAAGGATTCCTGGTTCGTTTGGGTTTCTGTTTGCACGAATTCCTGTGAGGTTTGGGCTTGGTTATTTACCACTTTGTCATCCACGTTGTTACACCTATATAAGGGATTGTTTTAGGGTTTCTAAACAGAGGAGATGGTTAGAGATGTAGATCTAAGGAGATTAGGTCTAAGAGAGATCAGTTTTGATCTAGAGAGAGAATCAGATGTAATCAAAGAGAGATTCTAATCAAGAGAGATTAGGGTTTAGAAAGAATTGAGAGTTTGTTCTCGATTCTAGTGAGATTGTGAGAGAGGGATTGTAATCTTTTTATATCATAATCTAGAGAGGGTATTTTCCTTCGCCACATACTGAATTATTCTTGTGTTTCTATCATCCTCTTCTCAACCCACCTTTGATAATTCCACGATCACAGGTGCTCGCACAGTGACTCGCATCAAACACCCCCTACATGTTAACCATAGTCCTTAAAAATCTGACCTCATTACATCATAATAGCTGAGTGTGCATTAATCTTGAATTTTCCTCTAAACGACCAGGGGATAAGAATCAGGAAGTTTCCTTAATACCCAAGTATTTAGTTCATAACCAATCTTTCTAATTAATAGCATTCTTTTGGAAGTTAAAGACCAGAAATTATCAACATGTTTGTTCAAGAAGCACAGACTATGTATGTGTAAACAGATAGCTGAGCTATAATATAATTCTGCAATGTTGCTAAAATTCATATGGCAACCAACCAGCATCTTTCCTTTTCCAATTGTCAAAAGTTTCAGAATAATTAATCTTGTAAAACATATCTAGGTCCTAAAACTATTTTGGATAACACCAGCGAATTGAGCATGGATAATCAAATTTATCCTGTTACTCTCTTAATTTCTGAAGAATTCTGTAAAAATGAAGATCCAAGTGAAAATAAATAATACATATCCTGTCATGCAAGTGATAACAAAGATGCGGGACAATTTGAAAAGAATATATGCGTCTAGCAATACAGAATACGAATTATATATGTCAAAAAGAATCAACATTTGTTGTTAAAATTAAAAAAGATGAAATGTGGCCGAGAAGTTCTTTCAGTATAAAATGTAGATGAGAAGCAACAGAATTACCTTAATATAAAGTTCATGAACCTCTTGGAAAAAACTTTTTATCCCATCCTCATTACGTGAATCATGAAGCAGCATCAATCTAGTGTGTGGATAGAACTGGTTAAGGAAGACAAAGTATTTATACAGTGCTGGACTATACAAAGAAATTATGATGGTCAACATGTTACTAAATGAGAAAACAACTTAATCAGAATGGTTAACATGTTCCAACATAAAAAAGGCACTTTTATAGAATACAATACAATAATAAAAATTATCAAGTAGCCCATACTGCAAAAAAGAGTATTTACCATTTAGCTTTCAAAAAAAGAATACCTCATTTTCCAACAATCATGTTATTTTATTTACTTCTACAAAAAAAGGCAGATGTTAACTTTATCACTACTTTGAGAGCTACTGCTCATTTCCTATCCAAAAGATACAAGAATATGTTAGTGTGTTCATCTCCATAAAACTTAAACACCCAAAAAAACTGTTATATAATGAGTTAAGCAGGTATTATCAGCCAAGTCATTTATCCATCAAAAAACAACTGCAACAATAATTTATGTGATAGGATATGACCAGCAGTTACATACACAGACACCACCAAGTCATTGAACCTGTCAATGGCCTTCAAAAACCTGCATGTATCACAGAGATTAAATAAAGGCCAAAAAAATACTAATACAGAACAATCAACAAAGACATTGCAGCATACATTATCTATTTTTTATCTGCGTGAAACTAATATAAAATATATGTGTAACAATACTGCACTGACAATGTAAGCCTAAGACAAAAAGACTCACATGGCACTTGTTGTCCATGCAAGGTCCTGAACAATATCTAAAGCAGCATGCAAAATAAATTGGTGCTGATGAGCTGCTTCTTCTTTCTGTCACAAAATAGTGAATAAAACTGAAAGAAACCATGATTAAACATATATGAAACAGACCATTTCCATGAAAATTGTTAAGGAGCACAATTACTAATGGTCAAGGTTGTGGGCAGATTTATAGGTCTTTTTATACAGGAATACCACATTTGCATAGGATTATCTTACAGATCCTTAATCGACAGAACCACCAACAATAAATTTTTAAGAAATAAACATATTCTAATTCAAAGACATATAATTGGAACTGCCAATATCGTGTTCTGTACATTTGCAATTCGCATCACTAACACCTCACTGATTTTTTTTTTCCTCAAAAATTCAGATTCTTACTGAATATCTTCTGTAATGTCAGATTCTCTTGCATCCTCTTACAGTCATACACTTCGCCTATTTTCTGTCTATATATGTAAAATCATAATTCTGTTTCACCAATAAATCTTCATTAAACAAGTGCATGAGTATATCTTGTACCCTGCTCATATTAAAGGCCTGTAAGCCTCATGTTTGGCCTTACAGAACAAAGTAACTAGTTTGAGCAAGCAAGCAAGGTTCTCTCGCTAGTCCTTTCTGCTCAAAAGGAGAAGAGACATGACTGAAAGGTGCAAACCCAAATTATACGGAACATATTGAGAGCCAAGGAAGGTATGTTGGCACTGTAAATTTAAAGATCTATGGAAAAATGAATGAGGATTCTATTTTACAATTTGCTAAGACTTAAATGATAATAAATCACCTTCAGAACATCATGCTATTACAACTTACAAGATAGTTGAATTTCACGCTATTTATTTCAAGTGTTGGCGAAAGAAAGAAAGATAACTTAGAAAGAGAATGATTTCGCATCAACAGAAAAAGGATTGGCATATGAAAGAACATGCTAAGCTATGTTGCACTTGCGGGTGTGGACAAGGGCACAGATAGGGGACACGGCTATATACATGCATATCAAAATTAATAATTTATATGAGATTGACACTGTTTTTCATTCACATATTATGAGAAGTAAAATCCTTATGATGTTTTTATGTTACTTTTATAGAGTATATTATAATTTGAAAAACTGCTTGTTTTTTAGCTAGACACGCAAACAGCCCTTTAAAACCATACTTATGAACTAGGTATGTGCTAAAACGAACATGCCCTGAGGCTAACGAGTTGCATAAATTGAGGTGAATTGAACAATATACATTCAATAAGTGTATCATGAGTTTTTAAACTAAAACATGTGTTATATAATTAATTACATGTTTGAATAACTGTATGTATACATTCAAGAAGTGTCCAAGGAGTGTTCAACACGGACACAGATATGGGATGTGTCACACATATAGGGGCCTAGATAAAGTGCCCAGGTAACCCAGATGCTAAATAATTAAAGTCAGATATTCATGTATTTACATATGAAAATAAAAGCAAACATGCAATAACTTTAAAAAGTGCTTCAGGTTTTTTTTCCTATGTTACTGTTCATTAGAGAGTTATGGATCATAAATAATAATAAAAAAGCTTAAGAAACATATGGGAGACATCGTGATCGCTATTTCAATAGAAATCTACCGCCAAGGCAACTTGAAACGGACACAACACTTTTGAAAATTTTCTTGGACGCTTAGTTAATGCATCCTCAAGTTTGAAAACATTTTTTTCTATTTTGAACACTGTTGACACGTCGCGGTGCATTTTAACACTTGTCAAATACTTCTTGAATCTTGATACGCATATATTGGATTGCATTTTCCTCTTCCATTTTATCGTAAAAACTTCAAACATGGACCAGAATCGGAGAATAACAACACTGAAACGTTCAAAGGTTAAAATTATCCCTTAAGGGAAATGCTAAGAAGCTGAAAAGCCAAATACACATACTACATTCATCCAAACGTACAAAAGCATTTTTTTTTAAAGAAATAATAACATGTCAATAAAATTTTAAAAGGGTAAATTGAAGACAAACTCATAATCTATATATTTAGTAGCACTTAACACCCCTCCAGTCATAAGGGACAGGGGGGTTATCTGCAATTTATTCTTCTTAAAATGTGAAGTGTTACTAGTAGGGTGATAAGTTCTACTGAAGCTATAGAGTAGTGGGGTTTATTAGCAATTTAGCTAAATTTTTTACAACAATAAATACATAAACATTCGAAAACTGTGATTTTACGGTCTATATACCAACACAATAAAATTCCAAGGAAACATCAAAAAAAAAAAAAAAATCGCT